GCTTTCCATACATAGGAGTCCTGTATCCAATGTAACTCCATGCTCTTTTCATAGTAAGGCACTGAATCTTATCTGGAGTCGGTAACCCAAGGACACAGATTTAAAATAGTTGTTAAAAGAAACAGAAAAGAGGTGAGAAATATTTTTACACAGCGAGTTGTTGGGATTCGGAATGCACTGCCTGAAAGGGTGGGGGAGGCCGATTCGATAACAGCTTTTAAGAGAGAAATAGCTAATTATTTGGGAAGGACAAGTTTGCAGGGCTATGGGGAGAGCGCGGGGGAGTGGGATTGATTTGGAAGCTCTTTTCAAAGAGCCGGCACAGACACGATGGGCTGAATGGCCTCCTTCGATGCTGTACAATTCTATGATCTATGATCTATGTAAGGATTGAGTCAAATGAGTGAGATTAAAGCTCTAGTCTCTAGAAACCCTGTTTTTCCAGTTTCACAATCACTTGAGCTCCTCAATTGGATTGTAGTGTTCAGTTTAAATCCTAATACTCAGTATTCCACAGCCACACAATGCAAATCCTCACCATTTCATTCGAGCAAACAAGACTGCAATCAGTCACTGTGCTATTGACAGTTGTTCAGAATAATTGAAGCACACAAGGGGTTAATGCAATTTCACTAGTCGTTGAGTCCCACTGATTCCCAATTTGCTTGAGCCTTGTATCTCACTCTAGTGAATACCTCAAAGAAACAGAAGCACTGTAACCAAACCAGTCATATAAATAATAATCCTTGCATTTAACATAGCGTTTAATCACATCTTTGAGACGTCTCTTCGAGAAGTGCTTCACAGAATATGCTATAAAGCGAATTGACTGTATTTTGTGGGCGAAATGTGGCAGCCAATTGAGCACAGGAGTGTCCCACAAACAGTCGTGGATTGAGTGACCCCATTTTTTTTAAGGGATTATTATCACAGGAAAAGTGATCCACCAATTGACTAACGACTGGGTTCCTACTTACTGCTAGGTAAACAGAGGCGTGTGGAATAAAGAAACTTTCCTAATGTTCTGCCCTCCCGGGAATCAAACCCAGGTCTTTTCGCTTGCGAAGCGAGTGCTCTAACCACTGAGCTACAGGACTCCACATGTTGGTACAGCACGTGGCATTGCCCTTCAGTGTCTTTGATCGTTGTGCCTCTCCCTGTGTAACTGGCATTTTTCCCCTTTTCCACTTCCCCGCATATTCTTGGTCAGTGGCTTGCAGACTGGTTCTGGGATAGAATTCCCCTGGTTGGGAACACTTACCGAACATGCAACAAGCCTGTTGCAGCACATTAAGCGGGTGTTTCACAGATGCCTCTGTGCGCTGATATTTAGTGCCTCTGATTTGCATTTGGCCTGCATTGTACACGGCTGAAATAAGGCTAACAGAGTGAGGATACCGATCCCTATTAACCCACAAATTAAGCGAGGATAAGCAGAACTCTCAGGGATCTACAAAGCAATAATCCTATCAAGGGTTGCACAGTGCGTCTCATACCAAAAGAATGAAGAGTTAGTACTTAATAATTACCCCTTTCACCCCATATTAGACTAATATATTAAAATGGAATACATCGTGGAATAAATGTCACTTCAAGTTATGGGTTTAAGATTATTCTTTTTTTAAAAACTGTTATTATGGTTTGAATGGGGCCTGGAAGACCTTTGGTTTGAAAAAAATCCTTGCATTTGGTCTAGCAGCTTTCACGTCGGAAGGCGGTCTCAAAGAGCTTCACAGTTTTTGAATATGATCAGATATGAAGATTGACAAGTAATAATAATAATAATCCTTGCATTTGGTATAGCGCCTTATCCCCCACGTCTTTGAGACGTCTCAAAGAGCTTCACAGAAAATACTGTAAAATGAATTGACTGTATATTTTATGTAAGTAAGCATTGACAAAGGACACACGGTAGGGTATATGGTGTGTTTGTTGAACCTTTGTCTTCACCAACATGAGGGAGATCTGCGAAAGTGTTAGAGAACAGAACATTTATCACCATGTATCCATGGGCCAGACATTGTACAGGTTAGAGGCAGGGTAACTGGAATAATACAGTTCTGAGAGGCTTGAGAGTTAGAGACAGAATGTTCTAGGTTTGAATTCCAATAGATCCATCCTTTTCCTTTTGTCAAAACAAGTCCCATGCCAAAAAAATTCTCCACGGGAGATAGGAATGTGGAGGGTCCAAGGCGATTAACCAGGAATGGGGAGACACCTGGCTTGTACACAATAATTCAAGAGGAACTTGTGGTATAGACATGTACCAAGTGAGGGACAGGCCAGTGCAAGATTGATAAATGCCATTGATCCAGAATACAACGTAAGAAATCTTCAGAGCAGGAAATTTGATTCAATAAGCCAGTCCCTTTCCATTCTCAACTCCACCTACTTGTCTTCTCATCAACATCCTTCAATCCTTCCTTTGCAAAACACATTAAGTTGGCTCTCAAACTATATACTCAAAATCTAAAGTGGAGAGTTGGGTGGGGGGAGAGGGTGGAAGAGGAGAAAAGCTGTTTGCAATCAATGGATCTTCACAATTAGGTTTTTAAAAGCTATAGTGCTGCTGCGACTCCGTCTTTAACAACAAAAGCAAAATGTATAAACATTGGGATTTTAGCAAAAAAAAGATTATTATTGAGGATTATAGGATCATGTGGGTGGGGCTTGCAGGACAATGTGCCGAGAGCATATTCATTGTGTTTTTTAAAGTAATCTCTGAAATGCTCTCCCCTAAATAGGAGGTAGAGTCTGAAATGAAGCCAGTGTAGGACTGGAAGGATTAAGTCTTGTTAAACCACAGGAATCTCTTTGTAAATTCAAGGCATTTTAGACGCACTGTATGTGTGCCCAATAATTCTTGTGAAACTACCTGTGATTTGCAGGGCTGGCAGGCAAGGAGGAAGAGTGTTTTAAAACAAGAGGGGATTGTAATGGGATTGTAGGAGGCTTGGCTGCTGGCTGTGTCTAGTTATTCTAACAGGGCAGTAAAAGATCTGAAGAAGAATTGCAGGTTCTTAACCCTGCAGAGGCTGAAGGGGGTAAATTCAGAACAAATATGTGCTTGAGTGAGCGAGTAGGAAACTTATGGAACAGGCTCCCTAGGGAGATAGACGGTGGAAGCAGAAAATGTTGTTTGTTTCAAGAACAAATGAGATCGATTTCTGCTTGAAAATAATATCTGGGGATACAGTGTACAGTTTGGGACATGACATGTCAGTGACTGCCAGGATGATGGAGGGGAACTAGATGGACCTTGGTCTTCTTTCTGTTCTTAATCACAGAGAGGCAGTAATTACCTTGCCATGGGTTCTCTTCATGTGAGAGACGTAGAGTTCTCGATCCGGAAGCCACTGTAAGCACTCTCCACATGTCCAGCCGGGATTCTTGCCCCTCACTCTGGGCTCAGAGCTGCAGAGGCTGGTGCTCGGGGTGTTGGAGGCGACACCGTTGGAGGTGCTGTAGGTGGAGGATGGTTTGGGGACTCGACTGCTGGAAGCCTCCCTGGACGGAAGCCAGAAGTTTGGCAAATCTTCCATGTTCTGCCCAACACCGTGGACGTCCTGTTCACAACACAAAGGGTGACATTTGTAAGAAGCAATGACCAATAATAATAATAATCCTTGCATTTGATATAGCGCTTAATCACATCCTTGAGACGTGTCAAAGCGCTTCACAGGATTTACCGTAAAGTGAATTGACTGTATTTTGTGGGCGAAACACGGCACAGCAGCGTCCCACAAACAGTCATGTATTGAGTGACTAAATTATTTTGTAGGAATAAGTAGGAACCCATTTGTTAGTCGAAAGGCGGATCGATTTCTGGATGTAATAATCCCTTTAAAAAAATAAATATTCTTGTCACTCAATCCATGACTGTTTGTAATATCTGGGGATGCAGTATATAGTTTGGGACACTGAAACACATTGAAACACTGCTGTCATTTCTCCCACAAATACACAGTCAATCCACTTTACAGTATATCCTGTGAAGCTTTTTGAGACGTCTCACCGACGTGATAAGCTGCTATATCAAACACAATTATTATTAATAATAAATGAAAACTGTGATGGCAAGATTGCTGTCGATGCATTGAGCCTACCTTGAAGTGCTCCATCATCAGCTGTTTGTGCAAGTACAGGGATTGGCATACAGGACACTTGTACACACACACAATCAGCTTGTTTTTGTGCTGGTCGAAGTGCTTGTGTAGCATCGCTCGCTGGTTGAAGACGGTTTCACACATAGAGCACTTGAAGATGACTCTGTAATGGAAGAAGCAGCTTGTGTTGGCATTGCAGCCCACTGGCACTTAATCAGCTCATGTAACAGGGCATGTCTCGTCACTCTCACATTGTACAGGGTGTCCACAAAGTCCTGTTACCCCATGTGTTTTTTTTTCCTACAGAATTGGCCAACAATTTTCAAACATGTGTAAGAATGATGATAACTGTATTTAGAAGTTACTTCATTCTATTCAGTACAAATGTTTAACTGTATTTAGCCGTCCAGAGGATGTGTGTGTGTGCGTGAGTGTGTGAGCGCCAGCATTTTCATAGCAGATAATCATCCGTTGCCATGTTCAGTGCCACATCTTCTGCAACATGGAGTCAGTGAGGAGAAGAAATGTATCTCTGACAGCTAGCTTCAGCTCCATAGTCTTCATACCACTATTTGGTATGTAACAGGGGGTAACAGGACTTTGTGGACACCCTGTAGAGCATGTTAAATATAAATTGGCTAGCAAGAGTATTTAAAGGGCAGACAGAAAAGGAGTAAATAGGATTAAAAGATCTAACAAACTGGCGGGCTTGGTGGAACAAGTATCCTGTTCCCAATTAAAGAAACATTAAAGATAAAGCTGCTAAATGCCTGCCTGCCAGCCAGCATTTGTCAGAAGTATACAGTACATACCCCCATACCAACTAAACACACAAGCAATCAAAGGTAGGCAAGTACATGGGAAAGTGACAAGACAGTAAGCTTTCCCATCCTGACTTCAAGAAAATGTGAGTCATTTCACCTTTCGTCCAACTCTTGGTGATTTATTATTCACCTTATAACAAAATCAGGATGTGTGTGTGTATTTCTGACAAGCAACACTCCAGAATAAAAGCACTGCAGGCGTGCACTGACTGACTGACACATTCACTGACTGACTGAATCACTCACTCCCTGAGCACGCTTGCCAAAATCCATCTGACATTATCTGTGTTTTTCCAATGAAAAGCAACACTTGGAAGGGGTGAAGATCTGTTGAATGAATTGAGTGACACTTGTAGTGAGCAGCCAGCACCGCAAAAGGTGACTTATTATTATTAGTAATAATAATAATCTTTAACGTTTGATACAGCGCCTTCTGAGACGTCTCAAAATGCTTCACAGCTAACTATAAAGTGAATTGACTGTATATCCTGTGGACTAAATGTGGCAGCCAACTGCACACAGCAGTGCCCCACAAACAGTTGTGCATTGAGTGACCAAATTATTATTATTATTATTATTCTTTGGAGGGATTATTACCCCCGGAAAGCAATCTGCCAATCGACTAACAACCGGGTTCCTACTTTACTGCTAGATAAACAGAGGCGTGTGGAGTAAGGAAACTTGCCTAAGGTATCGCCCTGCCCGTCCTCATCTCCCTGGAACTGATGACAGATGCCAAAGCCAAACATGAATATTCTAGCAAATAGTTTTCTGATAAATCATTGTGGAGTCAGTGCTGAGATAGAGGCACAACTGGTCGCAGAGCCCAGCTAAGCAGACAAAAAATAACTTAGCCAGGGCTCTCGATGATTATTATTCAGCGTGAGTCTTGTTGGAAAAGGCCCTTATGAGCAGTGGAGAGCAGGACATAATTGGACTTCTCTGTTGGCCAAGATTTAGGATGTGTGTCTCCCCCCCCACTCCACACGTTCACATTAAATGGCAGAGCTCACAGTCTGAGCTCATGCAAGATTAGCAGGAGGTAGTGAATGGTGCCAGATACCCCACTGAATGTAACTTTGCAATCCTGTAGCTCAGTGGTTAGAACACTCGCCTCGCAAGTGAGAGACCTGGGTTCGATTCCCAGCAGGGTGAAATGTTGGGCAAGTTTCCTTACTCCACATATCTCTGTTTACCTAGCAGTAAGTAGGAACACGGTTGTTAGTCGATTGGTGGATCACTTTTCCAGGGATAATAATTCTTTCAAACATAATAATGTTTATAAGTGATAATAATAATGGTCACTCATTCTATGGGTTTGTGGGACACTGCTGTGCGCAATTAGCTGCTGCTTTTCGCACACAATAGAATCACTACAATTTATTATGTGAAGCGCTTTGAGACGGGTCAAAGATGTGATAAGGCGCTATATCAAATGAAAGGATTATTATTTAACTAGAAAGGAAGGGGAGCAAATGGTGACAATATTGACTGCACAGGACACAGATTTTGTAGGCTTAACCTCTTTGAAGAGAACACAGGGGTAAACGGTAAATAAGAACGAAATTGGCACAAGAAGGAAGCTATTGTGTGAATGGAAAATTCAAAAGTGATTTGATTTCCTTTTAAAAATAATAGTTTAGCACTGCTGAAACCTGCAAACCAGGCTAGATGCGAGCATCAAGAGGGGCTTGCCACGCGCAGGTAATGAAACGCCATCATTTTCCATAGAAACGCCCGTTTGTGTTTAATACAAGAAGATTAAAGGCAGGGAGAGAGTTACACAGTAAGAGATCCCGTTACTGATTTCTTTTCCTGGCTGGATAGCACGTCAAATGTAATCTGAAGATTTTCCAACTCCCAAACGGCTCTTTACTTGTACACAACCTAAAGTACTGTATTAAGAGGCTGGACGGATAGACTGGCAATCATTTTAATGATCTGGATGACATTTCTATCAAACTAATCCTGCTTCTCAAGGTCCTAGTTTGCATTATTTTCCAACATGAGGTTTAACGTGAGGACAGAGCACAAAACACACACTCATTTTATTCGCATCACTCTGTGTGGATACGAACTACAAGACAAATGGACATTATTCCATCTTTGACAGGCTCCGGCCTTCTGCATGTCCCTCGTGCCCTCTGTTCTACCATTGGTGGCCACGCTTTCAGACACTACACTCCGAAACTCTAGAACGCTCTTCCTCTATCCCTCTGCCTTGCCCCTTCCTTCTCCATCTTCATGTTGTTTCTGAAGGTCAACCCTCCCCCTCCCCCCAGCTCAGCGTCGTACTCCACCACTGTCAAGCACTCTGAGATGCTACCCTCCGTGAGGGGCGCTGTGTAAATGCAAGTTGTTGTTATTGATCTCCAAAGTTTGCCCTCCCGGACCACACCAACAGCTCCTAATGGCATCACATCTTGAGGCTTTCAGACCTTTGTGTGGATCTTGCTTTAACTGCAGGTTTGATGGTGGATTGAAACTGAGAATATGAACCAAGAAGCCAGAATGCCTAATTACAATGATTCCAATTAGTGTCCCTACCACACAGGCCATCAGGTTAGGTCAGTTAGTCAGCACCAGTTCCAATGAATGGTTGAGACTGTATTGAAGTGAACATTCTTTTTTTGTTGTACAAAAATCGAATGACAAAAAGCTTTGATTTTGCTGAATAAACAGCGATTAAGCAACAAGAACAACTTGGGTTTATATAGCACCCTTCACCCAGGGTAGCGTCTCAGAGCACAGTGTCCACTTTGTCTGTGCTCCTCACAACAACCCCGTGTAAATGGGAGTTCCTTCCATTCCCTCCTCCCCGATCGGCTGCTCTGTGTCAGGCAACAACCATCCAGCGATAGAATAATAACCGAACAAGCCTTGAGGGACAACCATAGAAATGGTCTCAGGCACTGTACTTTAGAAGATCGTTTTCTTTAATTGTTAAAAAACAGATTCAGATTTAAGACTGAATTTAAGAATTTTCCACAATTCTACACAATCTTTTCAATATTAAACCAAAACTTATAATAATAATCCTTGCATTTGATACAGTGCCTTATCACGTCGATGAGACGTCTCAAAGCGCTTCACAGAATATACTGTAAAGTGGTTTGAATGTGTATTTTGTGGGCGAAATGCAGCAGCCAATTGCGCACAGCAGCTTCCCACAAACAATTGGGGAATGAGGGACCAAATATTTTTTGGGGGAGGGATTATTACTCCAGGAAAGCAATCTGCCAATCCAGTAACAACTGGGTTCCCACAAAAACAAGGAGGCCATTCAGCCCCTTGAGCCTGTTCCACCATTCTATAATTCATAGCTGATCTGTACCTCAACTCTAATTACCCGCCCTTGCCCCATATCCCTTGATACCCTGACCTAACAAATATCTATCCACCTCAGTCATGACAATGTGAATGGATCCAGCCATAATCCACAGCATTTTGGGGGAGAGAGTTCAAGATTTCCATAGCCCTTTAAGACCCAGATCCCTATCGATTACCATTGGGAGCTCACAACAGACAACAGACCACAGGTAATGACAATTATACATTGTCAATTCAATACTTTTTCATGTGTGTTTCATAGTGTTTAATCAACCAGTTGTGTAAGTCAGACATGTGAAAGCAGCACAACTTCAGATTGATTTACTTCTCTCATAGGCTGCCTTTTGTTGATTTTTATTATTAGAACCACAGTTAATTAACCTTATCTAACCTTGCTGGGGCGGGGAGGGGAGAGAGTGAGGTGTCTGGAGCTGAGCTGGCTCGGTAACACTGGCAAAGGGGTAAGTGGGGCTGAGTCACTTGTCTGAGGTGGGCTCAGTGAGCCAGTCCCTGAGCCAGGCAGCTCCGCTGTACTGCAGGCCACTGCTGATTAAGCAGCTTGTCTGGCTCATCAGTGGGATGTGGAGGAGTAAACACGTCGTCAAGAGACTAGTCTTCCCACTCAAGTTAAGCTAATTAACATGTGGTTCAAATAAGAGTCAACAACAACTTTTCATAGTAAGGCACCGACTGCCACCTAATGTGCTTTTACACACACACACCACACCCACATACACACACACACCACACACACACACACCCCACTCCCCTCCACACACACACACACACACAGATAAGGGTGGTTCCAGGGTGTGAGTTCAGCCTTACAGTTTCTTCTCAAGGCTCAGAAATCCTGTTCTTCCAGTTTACACCTCAATTATAGTGTTTGGTGGTAAATCCTAATTCTTTTTATTCTATAGCCACACACTGCAAATCCTCACCGTTTTGTTCGAGCGTTCCCTGTGCAAGACAAAACCCTAATGAGTAAGGGGTCCTCACTGGATAAATAGCAGCTTATTGATGCCTCTTAACCGGTTAAATTTACCAGCACTTTGGGAGTCCCTAATGTTTTGACATCTGCCTTCTTCTCCCAAGTCTCCAATCAGGCTGGTTGTTCCTCTCTCTCTCTCCCCCTCCCCCTCTCTCTCGCTCGCCTCCCACTCACTCCCCCCCCCCCCCCCTCCCCCAAGGAAATTGTGCACTGCAGAGCGAGTGAACAGAAACACTGTGTCTGTGAGTTCTCAGCAGCTGGAACTGGAGCCTGAAGCACAGCAGAACATTTCCGCTTTTCTCAGGCTCCCAATTCACCATCCACCCCCCCAACCGCCCCCAACTGCCCTGGCCCCGGACAAAATAACTAACTGTAGCTTCTCAGAAGGGAATGTGTCGGTGCTTTACAATCTGCCCGAAGGTCCTGTTTGAAAAGTTGTAAAGAATAAGTTGAAGATGAAAGCTTTGCTGGTTGAGGGTAGGGCCTCGCTGTCTCCCAGTGAATTGTTTGATTGATGATTGCTCCATAGTTGGCAGCAGTTTCTCTCGCTTTAAGAACTGCTGGGCTTTCTGGCTTCGGTCTGTGAGTCAGTCCTCGCGGTTCTGCCTCAGTGGCCTCAGCCTTAGCGGATCTGTCATGGAGCCTTGTAGCTTAGTGGTTAGAGCACTCGCTTCCAAACGAGAGACCTGGGTTCGATTCCCAGGCGGGGTGAAGGGTTGGGCAAGTTTAGTCGCTCAATCCACACCTGTTTGTGGGACGCTGTTGGCACAATTGGCTGCTGCGTTTTGCCCACAAAATATACAGTCGCCCCACTTTACGGAATATTCTGTGAAGCGCTTTGAGACGTCTCGAAGACGTGATAAGGCACTGTATATTTTGTGGGTGAAGCACTCTGAGACGCTGCCTTGTGTGGAGTGCGTTATATAAGTGCAAGTTATTGTATCAAATGCAAGGATTATTGTTATTTTTATGATTATTATAAAGCACCTGTTGGAAACATGCTGGAGATTTGTCGACATCTGAAACAATTAAAGTGACCTGAGTTAATAATAATAATCCTTGCATTTGATATAGCGCTTTTCACGTCGGGAGGACGTCCCAAAGCGCTTCACAGAACACACTGTAAAGTGAATTGACTGTATATTTGTGGGCGAACACGGCAGCCAATTGCGCACAGCATGTCCCACAAACAGTCGTAGATTGAAAATGACCAATTTATTATTGTTTTTTTTGGAGGGATTATTATTAGGCTCTGTGTGGAGTAAGGAAACTTGCCCGAGGTTTCACCCTCTGCCTGGAATTGAACTCAGGTCTCTCACTTGCAAAGCGAATGCTCTAACCACTGAGCTACGGGACTCCACTGTTGTGGTGACTTGGCTCCCGGTGGTGACAGTTACTGTATAACATGGGGCTGCCTCGTGGTGGGATCGCCTCAGCAATCCCTGGGGAGTGGTGTTGAGCCGCTCAGATGTAAAGCTCATCTCAACGCAATGCAAATCCAACCAGGAGCTTGGCATTGGTGAGGTTCTGGGAATCCAGAGATATTCAAAGAGATATTCAATTAACCTCTAGCCTGTGGTGTCACTCCATTGTCTTCATCGCTGGCAGCCGTGATGGATTTGCATAGATATCAGCTCCGGCCACTCTCCACTCAACGCTGCCGCTCAAACATTTGATCTGAATTCAAATAGTTTCCTTGGCCACACAAGAATGTATCAAAGCGAATTTTTATCGCACAGGTTTATTTATTTGGTTTAAGTTAGTTGCATAAGATGGCAATTTCAACCAGTTGAAACATAAATGTTTCAATTAGTTGGAACCTGGGCTGGAGTCCTGTAGCTCAATGGTTACAGCACTCGCATCACAAGTGAGAGGACCTGGGTTCGATTCCCAGCTCAGGGCGAAATGTTTGGCAGGTTTCTTTGCATGCCTCTGTTTACCTAGTAGTTAAATAGGAACCCGGTTGTTAATTGATTAGTAGATAATAACCAGGGATAATAATCCCTCCAAAAAAAATAATAATATTAATATGGTCACTCAATCCACAACTGTTTGTGGGACGCTGCTGTGTGCAATTGGCTGCTGTGTTTCACCCCAAAATATACAGTCAATTCACTTTACAGTATATTCTGTGAAGTACTTTGAGACGTCTCAAAGATGTGATAAGACATGATAAGGCACTATATCAAATGCAAAGATATAACAATTATAACATTGTATTTATCTTTCCCAAATTTTTTTTGTTCTCTCCTTTTCTGGAGGCAGTGGTTAGAGGAATCTGTTTCCACCACCAGATCAGACAATAATTATTTTATTCTCTCTCTCTCTCCAGTCAATGAAGAGATATCCCTGCCGGCAGTGTGATCGTTCGTTCAACACCTCCCACAGCCTTCGACGACACATCCGTACCAACCATAACAGCTTTAAGAGAACCTACACCTGCTGGTAAGCATTGAGACTGGCCCATTCGATGAGAAAGCCATTGGGAGCCAAACACAAGAAACCCTTCGACCACCTCCCCCCCCCCCATCTTAAATCAAAGTAATTTTGACAAGTTGCACAATTGAATTAAAAAACATCTGGTTGTGTGACCTGGAGGTGGATATTTTCTTAGTTACCTGTTGATGCTTGGGTCATACGTAGGTGTAATGCTTAGTTTGAATTACTCAACTATTGTTTATATTGTGTGTCAGCCTGGCTCAGTTAGTAGCACTCTCATTTCTGAGACAGAAGGTTGTGGGTTCAAGCTTCACAATGGGATTTTGAACTCAACAACAACAACAAAATTACATTTATAGAGCGCCTTTCACATCGGGAGGACGACCCAAGGCGCTGGACAGTCAGGGGTCAGGACCTGAGCATGGGGGAGGGTAGGTGTGAGGGAAGGCAGAGAGGTTGGTGGGCGACTGAAGGTACGATCAAAGAGGAGGGTCTTGAGACCGGCCTTGAAGGAGGCAAGGGAGGAAGCGAGGCGAAGGGAAACTCACAAAGTCACAAAGTTTAAGCTAACACTTCAGTGCAGTGCTGGGGATAGCGCTGCATTGTCAGAGGCGCCGTCCTTCAGATGAGACATTAAACTGAGATCCTACCTGCCAACTCAGGTGGATATTAAAGAAGTAAAAAGCGCTATAATAATAATAATAATCCTTGCATTTTTTAAAAGAGGTGGCTACTGAGATAGTGGATGGCTTGTCTTTGATCTTCCAAAATTCTCTGGATTCTGGAACGGTTCCCATTGATTGGAAGATCGCAAACGTAACACCACCATTTAAGAAGGGTGGGAGAGAAAAGATGGGGAACTATAGACCAGTTAGTCTGACATCAGTAGTAGGGAAAATTATTGAGTCCTTAATTAAAGATGTCGTTATGGGATTCCTGGAAGACCATAACAAGATTAGGCAGTCAACATGGCTTTACAAAAGGGAAGTCATGCTTCACTAATCTTTTAGAGTTTTTTGAAGATGTATCTGCAGGTTAGAGAGGGGGAACCAGTAGATGTAGTATATTTAGATTTTAAAAGGCATTTGACAAAGTGCCACACAAAAGGCTATTGCACAAGGTTAAGGCCCACGGGATTAATGGGAACATATTAGCATGGATTGAAGAGTGGCAACGGGTAGAAAACAGAGAATAGGGATAAATGGGTCATTCTCGAATTGGCAGGAGATGTGACTAGTGGAGTGCCACAAGGATCAGTGCTTGGGCCTCAGCTATTTACAATTTACATCAATGATCCCGCCGAGGACATTGAATGTAACATATCTAAATTCGCGGATGACACTAAACTACGTGGGAGAGTAAGCTCTGAGGATGATGCAAAAAAATTGCAACGGGATATAGATGGCGAGGGGAGTGGGCGAGAAGGTGGCAGATGGAATTTAATGTGTGAAGTTATTCACCGAGGTAGAAAAAATAGAAAAACAGATTATTTTCTAGAGGGGGAAAGATTTGTTAGTGTTCAGAGGGTTTGGGTGTCCTTGTACACCAGTCTCAAAAGGTTAGTTTGCAGGTGCAGCAGCAACTAAGAAGGCGACCGGCATGTTAGCGTTCATTGCAAAAGGTTTAGAATATAAGAGTAGGGAAGTCTTGCTGCAACTGTATAGGGCTTTGGTGAGACCGCACCGAGAGTATTGTGTGCAGTTTTGGTCCTTATTTAAAAAAGGACATACTTGCCCTCGAGGGGGTGCAGCGTAGATTCACTCGGTTAGTTCCTGGGATGAGGGGACTGACCTATGAGGATAGGCTGAATAAACCAGGGCTGTATTCTCTAGAGTACAGAAGAATTAGAGGGGATTTTATTGAAACATATAAGATTCTTAAAGGGCTGATAAAGTAGTCACTGAGGGTCTTTTTCCCCCGGTATGAGAATCCATAACCAGGGGTCACAGTCTTAAAATTAAGGGTCAGCCTTTTAGGACAGAGTTGAGGAAACATTTCTTCACTCAGAGGGTAGTGAGTGAATTCACTCCCCCAGAAGGCTGTAGATGCTCAGTCTTCAAGGCTGAGACTGATAGATTTTTTAAAATATTGGGGGATATGGGGATATCCCCATTAGAGTTAGGTCTGAAAATCAGCCATTATCTTATTGAATGGCGGGCCAGCTCGAGGGGCCGAATGGTCTACTCTTGCTCCTAATTCTTATGTTCTTATGTTCATTTGATATAGCGCTTTTCATGTCTGAAATGGTGTTGGAAGCAGATTCGATAATCACTTTCAAAAGGGAATTGGATTAAAAAGGAAAAGTGTGCAGGACTACGGGGAAAGAGCGAGGGGGGAGTGAGACTAGTTGGTAGCTCTTCCAAAGAGCCGGCAAAGGCACGATGGGCCAAATGGCCTCCTTCTGTGCTGTAAGGTTCTATCATTCTATTCTATGAAATACGCTGATGAATATTGACCAGAGCCCTTGGTAAAATGTTCACTGGAGCCTGCATTTTAGTGCAACCCACAGAATTTTGGAGTGCGAACTATACATTACAACTTGCAATTCAGGAAGATGATTCTTATTAAACTTGGAACATTCTGCATTGGAACCAGGTGCAAGCAGCTGTTTACCCAGTGGCCTGAAATGTCTATTGAGGGGGTGTTATGGAAAGTGTTAGGAAAGTCAACATTACGAAAAGTGAACATTTTACTCTGTGAGATGGCTTATTTTAATGTTCATTTGTTTTTCGACAGTTTCCTAAAATGTTATAATAATAATAATCCTTCATTTGATATAGTGCTTTATCACATCTTCTAGACGCCACGAAGAGCTTCACAGAATATACTGTAAAGTAAATTTATATTAAAAAATTATATAACAAATAAATATGTATAAAGTAAAGTTATATGATAAAAGAGTTCTGCAGGAAATCGCAGAGCCGGGTTGTGCTGGGTGTGAAATGGCCTGTGCTCGCTGATACCAGCAGGGGTGCTTCCATGGTATTCCGTTAGTCAGTGCCAAATAAAACAGAATTTGCAAAGATTCACAAAAATAACACATGTACAAGCCCTGGGTTCAACCAGTTTGCATTTTTGCACATGGTACGTCATGCGTTGACATCTCACATATGTGCACTCAGTGTGTTGGCTGGATTGTACATGCCTGGGCTGTGTTGGGGGTGGGGGGAGGGGGTGGGGGAGAGAGTAGATCGCTAGTCCTTCTCCCTGGGGAGAGGGGAACTGGGCAGTTTAATGGTCGGCAACAGGTGCGGTAGAAATCAGCCTTAAAACTCAGCTCTGCCCATTTATTGAAAGTAAACTGAAAGCCACATATCTTTTTTTACACAGTTTGAGTGCATGTTTTTTCAGTGCATTGGGTAATGCTCCACATAGCGTGAGCTCCATCTGGTCTGCAGGCAGTCTGTGCGTGGGTGGTGTGTTCATTATTTATTTGTTTTAGACTGTGTTGGTTTGAGGGACCTCAGACGTGCGTACTTATAGATGTGGAGGCTTTTCCTGGTAATCCACAGCTGCTGAACCTGATATCAGCCTGGCTCAGTTGGTAGCACTATATATATGACCTCTGTATAATAATGTGCCCACACAATCCTTTCTCATTCACCTCATTCATCTCATTCACACCATCCCGGGTTCAATTCCTGGACAGGACGAAACCTTAGGCAAGTTTTCTTACTCCAGAAGCCCTGTTTACCAGCTGTAAGTAGGAACGCGGTTGTTAGTTGTTAATTTTCCGGGGGTAATAATCCCTTAAAACAAAAATGTAAAAAATGGTCACTCAATCTACAACTGTTGTGGGACACTGCAGTGCGCAAATGGCTGCCGTGTTTCGCCCACAAAATATGCAGTCAGTTCACTATGTATCTTGAGAAGCGCCTTGAGAAACCTCGAAGGCGTGAAAAGGTGCTATATCTAATAATAATAATAATAATAATAATCCTTGCATTTGATATAGCGCTTTTCAGGTCGGGAGGACGTCCCAAAGCGCTTCACAGAACACACTGTAAAGTGAATTGACTGTAAATGCAAGGATCATTATTTTATTATTATCTCTTGAACATTCTCCTGCCTGGAAGAAGCAACCATAGTATCAGTTGGTTCCTGCGGGAAATTGATCTTCTGTAGGTTAGCCTGGCTCAGTCGGTAGCACTCTTGCCTCTGGGTCAGAAGGTTTGGGTTCAAGCCGTACATTAATTAGTACTTTGAGCTCACAGCCCAGGCTGACACTACAGTGGTGAGAGGCGCCATCTTCAGGTGGGACATCTGCCTGTTCAGATGGTCGTTAAAGGTCCTGTGACACGAAGTGAAAAGAGAAGGGAGTTTCTCCCAGCTTCCTGACCAGCAACCCTCCAGCTAAATTTGTCTTAATAACTTCATGGCTGTCTGTGGGATACTGCTGTGCACCAATTGGCTGCCACTTTTGCCTACAAATACACAGTCACTGCACTTGATAACAATTTGCTGTGAAACGCCTGTGATGTTCTGAGGTTAGACCAGTCTGTATTAAATGACAGGATTATTTGTGCATCTGAGTGAAGCTGCCATGTGTGAGTTGGAGTGACCTGTGGGGGTGTGGGAGGGAGGGAATTAACTTCCAGCAGATAATTGAGTTTATGTCACAGGGGCTCTTTACAGAAATTACACAGTTCAAGCGTTTTGATAGAGTAGATCGGGGGAAACTGTTTCCTCTGGCCGGTGGGTCAGTAACCGGGGACATAGATTCAAGATAATTGGAAAAAGAACCAGAGGCGAGGGAAGGAAAACATTTTTTACTCAGAGAATGGTCACTATCTGGAATGCGCTGCCTGAAAGGGTGGAGACAGATTCAATACCAGCTTTCAAAATGGAATTGGATAGGAACTTGAAAAGGAAAAAATTGCAAGGATTTGGGGAAAGAGCGGAGGAGTGGGACTGATTGGGTCGCTCTTCCAAAGAGCCGGTACAGGCACGATGGGCCGAATGGCCTCCTTCTTTGCGGTAATATTCTATGATTAGTGGCACTGACTTTTCTGGGATTATTTTCAGGTACTGCACGGATGAAAAGCACTTTTTCGCCAAGCGTTTCCTGCTGGAGAAACACATCAACTTAATGCACGGCATCAGGAACCCAGACTTCAGCCAGATGCCCAAAGCTGTTGCCATAGGCGGAGACTCAACAGAGGTAAGCACCTTCCTCTTTGACTGGGTCTTCCGTCATCATTCCTCAACAATCCGCCTTAGCTCCCACCTCTTGATTCCTAGCTCAGCTGCAAAACTTTGACTGCCCAGCACCTTGGAACATCCTCTTTTTTTTGTTAGATCAGGGTATCAAATTATATGGGGAAAAGGTGGGTAATTGGAGTTGAGGTACAGAGCAGCCATGATCTTATAGAATGGCGGAATAGACTCGAGAGGCTGAATGGCCTGTTTTAGTGTTTCAGGTGCCTTTGAAATGTTTTGGCTTCTGCTTTTACCAGCAGGGTTTGGTGTAGTGTTTCATGCCTTTACACCCACCGTGTTTAACAAAACAATTCTGCTAATTATTTACCTTTATTTTCTCGATGACCTTATTTGAGTGATTCCGGCAGCTGATTGCCTTCTCTTTCTTGCCTGCAGAGTTTAACCGTCAAACGGGTGCCAATCGAGTCTGAGGGGGACGAGCCAGCCAGCTCTGACTGTGAGGCCACGACTCCCAAGAAGCTGAAGGTCGCTGTGTCTAAGCAGCACAGATGCTCCAAATGTGGCTACGAAACCGAGGACAACGCAACCTTCCTGGGGCACATAGCTCAGCACAAGACAGACGGCAGCACCTTTCAGTGTCCGCAGTGCGGCCTGTGCTACACCTCGGCCCTCTCCCTCAACAGGCATCTATATATCGTCCACAAAATCAAGGAGACGGAGGAGAAGCCGGAACCCGATTTGGTGAATGAAAACGGGCAGGAAGAACACAATGGGCAGCCCAACACTACAGAGGAGGACGACAAGGAGGAGGAGGAGGTGGGCTCTGGGCTGCAGTGTCGAGTCTGCAAAGGAGAATTTGACACTGAGACAGCATTGAGCGCTCACGTGCGGACTCACGGGATGCGGTTTATAATGTCCCAGCAGAACGGAGGAGCGGAGCAATGACTGCAGCACGCGGAGTAGAAGAGAATCTTTTTAATCCTCCTTCATCCCCGAGTGGCTGCGCGGAGCCCCGGGAGGCTGCCGGCCTTCATGGAGTCATAAGACGGTAACTTTATTTTTAAGCAACAAGTGGTACTCGTTGAAAATCAGTGGCCGAGGCACTCACTCTCCCAGCCCTCGAATCACCACCAGAGCAAAGCCAGTGCAGGATCAAACCCTCCTGTATGTTTTGTTAAACGAAAGGAACTGTCCTTGTGTCAAAGCTGTTAAGTATTGGTTTGGGACAACCCAATGCACAGGGAAAGCAAACCAGGCGACACTTCCTGGGTCTTCCCGTCTGAACAAGGTTTGTAATGAGTTACTCTGAGGTCCCAGTGACCCACAGTCTCTCACTGTGAGCTCGCCAACCGGCTTCCAGGTCCCCTCAGCCACACGTTTAACTTGAGGGCTTTTGTGGAGTCCTGTAGCTCAGTGTTTAGAGCACTCGCCTCACAAACTGAGAGGAACTGGGTTTGATTCCTGGGTAAGACAAATTTCCTTACTCCACACCCCACTGTTTACCTATCAATAAGTAGTGACCTGGTTGTTAGTCGATTGGTGTATCGCTTTTCCAGGGATAATAATCCCTTCAAAATAAATAAAAAATAATGTGGTCACTCAATCCACGACTGTTTGTGGGACGCTGCTGGGCACAATTGGCTGCCGCGTTTCGCCCACAAAATTGCAGTCAATCCACTTTACAGTATATTCTGTGAAGCGTTTTGAAAAGTCTCAAAGACATGATAAGGCGCTATATCAAATGCAAGGATTATTATTCTCGCTCAGAGATAGAAACCTGCTCCCTGGGCCTCACTAGATCAGAGTTAGGGATTTGGAGTTTGAGAGTCATGTCTTTTCAGCACATTAAATTATTGAAAGTTATTGTCTGCCTCCATATGCTTTTATCAAGTTGAACATTTAGTGAGGTTTTGCCATTGGCACAATAAGAGTCTGTAAGTTGTTGTCAATTTTGAAAAATCATGCTGCCCCGACATTGCGAGTAGTTTCACAAAGACCCCCAGTGGGTAAAACAGAGCAAACAGCAACTGAAATTCCCATTCAGATTAATTTCAGGGCAATGCTAATAGCACAAAAAAATGAAATGAACCAGAATGATCCATTTGATGATCAGAAAATGAACCTTTCATGATCAACAGTATTTTCATCAGTTATTTGCTTAATGTACAGTAAAGAATTCCTTCCCCTCCCAGTATTCTGTGAAGCGCTTTGAGACATCGTGAGGCAAGGATTATTATTATTATTTTGTTCATTTAGAGCATAAGAGAGAGACAGAGAGAGAATGCATGTGTGCCTGTGTGTTGGGGGAAGCAGCTCGCAGCTTGCTCTACGATCCTCGCTGTCCTTGCTTGCTTGATATTTGATATAGCGCCTTATCACGTCGTCAAGACAGCTCAAAAGTTCTTCACAGAATATACTGTAAAGACCCCCTGTGTGTGAGATCTACACCTTCCCTGTTCGTGACATTGCTTTCGCAATGGCTGGCTCAAACAGCCTTTGGAGGTTCACCATTTCCTCCTCTTATTGTCACCTTTGGTTGTAAATTTTCCTTTCCTCTCCCTGTCTCTCTCTCTCTCTTTCTCTCCCTCATCTGCCCTGGTGACAAGGCAGCCGTGATCTCTGGTCTATCTCTGCTTCCTGACCTTGGCTCTCTCCATTTTACACAGAACTAGATCACTAGTCTAGGGACAAGCAAACTCCCGTCAATTACTGTCAAACCGAGGTGATAATTTATTCCCCTTTTTGTGTCACATTTGTGGAATTCCAGCACTATAAATTCCTGACTATAAATTGCATCAGTTACATGTATGTGATAAAGTCATACACAGAAGTGCAGCTATAATGCACTTCTCCTTTACAAGTCATGTCCTGAAAACAATTGACTCTCCTTTTTTACCTTCCACTGGTGTGTGAGCCCTTCGAGACACCATCCGAGTGAGCGTGGGCGGACTGTTTGACTGCATGGGACCATTTCCCATCCACACCCTGATGCCCTCGTGTGAACTACTACATAGAGAACTGAGTGTCGATGAGACCAGGACCCCTAATTAATACTTTACTGCTGTGTGCAATTGGCTGCCATGTTTCACCCACAAAATATGTCAATTCACTATACAGTATATTCTGTGAAGCGCTTTGAGACGTCTCGAAGACGTGATAAGGCGGTATATCAATTGCAACGATTATTATTATTTTAACCCTTGGCCGTAAGTACTGTCTCCCACTCTGAAATCCATTTGCTTTTTTCTCCTTCTGTCTGGATGTGGTTCCACAGGGTGGGTTGCAATGTGTACCTGCCAGACCGGTCACTACACATGTGCAAACCTTGCTGGTGACTGGAGAGGTATTTGGCTGCGATCGGAATCACAGAGGAGGACAAACCTGGGCACCTTCCCATGAGTTCCCCCTTTGTTTCTCCTCACTCCCCCTGCCCCCTCCATCACTGCCAACTCCATGGATCTTAAAGGTGATTGATTTTATCACCAGGGAATCCGTTGTCAGGAGCTGATGCTGCATGATGTAGTTCAGCACAGCTACCGCTCCTGCCCCCTCCACTCCCCACACGATACACCAAGACAGTGGAGTCCTGTAGCTCAGTGGTTAGAGCACTCGCCTCGCAAGCGAGAGGATCGGGGTCTGATTCCCGGGAAAGACAAAACCTTGGGCAAGTTTCCTCACTCCACACGCCTCTGATTACCAGCAGTAAGTAGGAACCTGATTGGCGGATCCTTTTCCAGGGGAAATAATCCCTTCAAACCAATAAATACATTTTAAAAAATAATAATAATTTAGTCACTTAAATCCACCACTGTTTGTGGGACGCTGCTGTGCCCAATTGGCTGCTGCGTTTCGCCCACAAAGTATACAGTCAATTCACTTTATAGTATATTCTGTGAAGCGTTTTGAGATATCTCAAAGTTGTGATAAGGTGCTACATCAAATGCAAGGATTATTATAAACAAACCATCTACAAGCGTTCAGTCATGACTGACAGAAATTAATTATTACATAGACTACTGACTGGGGCACCATATCTCATTTGCATTAATCACCAAAACGCAAGGAAAAACACTGAAATCATGGAAGAGTAGAATTAAATTGATAGATATTTTAGAAGCACAGATCTAGAAATGACTGCTGTCAGTATTTTTAACATTGCAAACCATAATCAAGGTCTACCTATGGCCAAGGCTACCAAAAATTACGCGTGGTAGCCAAATAATGTTGCCCAAATGACCGTTTTTTTTTAAAAAAAGGAGTCATGCACAATTTCTACCCCTGCCTCTCAAGCAAAGGGTTTTATTAGGATGGTATCATTTTTGTGGTATGAGCTGAATTAAAGATTGTGAGATGTCTGTTTGATCTGTGCAAGGTTTTTGTGTCCATTAGAGATAGAGGTGTGGAGCTGAGCTAGAAAAGCAGTGAAGCTGGCTACTGAATGCAGCCCGTGGGTAGCAGAGCATGTAAGGCAGGTCTCTTACCATGCATTGAGTGAGGATGTGATCAGTTGTGATCGCCCAGCAGTCAAATAGCCGGGGAAGTCCAGTGTGGTATTAGCTCACTTGTTCACCTGCTAAAAGATGTGCATTGGTTTGTCCTTTGGAGTCGCTTTGTTTCCATTTTAATTTCCGGGTGTGTAAAAAAAGAGTTGGTTACAAAGGGCAATGGGCCCCCTACCCTGCTGTCAGTTACTTTAGAACAAAGCCACAGTCTCTTATTAGGAACCTCTGTTGCTTTCCCTCTACCTGCGGATCGCTTTTCCGGGGGTAATAATCCCTTCAAAAAACAATAATAATAATAATTTGGTCACCTAGGCCACGACTGTTTGTGGGTGTGGGACGCTGCAATTGGCTGCCATGTTTCGCCCACAAATATAGAGTCAATTCACTTTACAGTGTATCCTGTGAAGCGCTTTTAGACATCTCGAAGATGCGATAAGGCGCTATATCAAATGCAAGGATTTTTATTATTATTACCCGTCATGTTTCCTTATCTTCATTTGCTCCCATTAAGCAGACAGTGTAGAATGTATTCTCTAAGTGAACCCAAGCCCGTGCCATTGTTCCCAAGGCTTATGGGCAGCTAACGCTGGCCATGAACTGGGGCAAACTCGCACTTCACTCTGCTGCCAGTTGGATGGCACTCAAGTAATTCACAGGAGGACCAAACGGAAGTGTTTGATAAAAGATATGAAACGACAGAACTGGTGTATTTTCCCTACTTAAATGACCACTGTACTGTATCTTACTTAAATTTTATAAGATTGATTTCCTTTTAAGAAAAAAATGTATCTCCCATATTACTCAATTTTATAAATTACTTTGGAGATTTATATTTAATTGTAGTCATATTGACTAAAATATTCCCGTGAACTCTCTATTTAAGTGCTATACTACCTTATGCAGTTGCGTTCACGTGATCGGTGTTATATTATACTTAAAGGTGAACCTCTTCACTTCAAACCTGAGGCAGCACACAGACACACACAACACTCCCTCAGTGACACTTGGTATCTATCGCTCTCCAGCCTGCATTACCTGCTTTGAAATGTTTGTACGTTTAATGTTAAGGTGAAGTTATGAAAATTGAGTTGGAAGATGGGAGCTGGATGAATGGGAGTGAGTTCTGTGTATCAGAGACTGTACATGTTGTTTGGTTTGGAGCCTGGAGTTGACCCTTTAAATGTTTTGATTCTTTTGAGCCAGAATTTCGCTCTTATTATTTACTGATAAACCGTTAAAATAATTTAAAACTATTTATCTTACGGAATTCAGCTCTGTTCACCTCTTTATTCCGATTTTTTTTGATACAACAATATATACAGACATTTGTACTTTTTGATAACTGTGTACAGTAAGTAGTGTTAGAGACAGACGTTTTGCAAGGTAACAGGTGTAGTTTGCTCAGAGTAGATCTACATGTTATCAGGGATTCTCCCCCCTCCCCACACACACAAGCCATCACCTCTATTTAATCTGCATCGGCCTTTGTGCCTTCTTATATGTTTACTTTAAAATATTTCAAATAAAGCAACAGAAAGTGGATTTTTTATCAGTCTCTTGTACCTGTTTGTTACACTCAGTCACATTCTCCGCTACACTGCCTCCTCGTTAATAATACAAAAATATATTTTAATAATAATAAGTTGTGTTTATATTGTGCCTTTCATGTAAGATAAATTGAGATCCCATAGCGCACTCACCTTGGAAGCGAGAGGGCCCGGGTTCGATACCCAGACGGGGCAAAACTTCAGCCAAGATTCCTTATTGCACACACTTCTGTTTACCCAGCCGTAAGTAGGAACCCAGTTGTTAGTTGATTGGCGGATCGCTTTCCGGGGATAATAATTCC